CTTAAGCGTTGAACCACAACCGAGGAGAATTTCTAGGCGCGTGGAACATACCGCAGGTTAGATGCCCGGCGCCAACCACCAATCTCCCTTTCCCGACTGGTTGAGATTATTATTGAATACATACAGGGTGTTGAGACCTGCCTCGGCCTTCGTACTAGAAAGATGCGGACTAGAACCACAACGCAGCTGCAGTACTCACATCTGGTATAGTGTCTCTGCGGGCAATCAACGTGGACAGAAACACGACAGTGGATGAAGATAGCGTATTAACAGAGATCTCATGGCAGTAACTAGAAGCATTCGTACTACCCCGCGTTTCGCCTCGCTCCCGGGGTCGGTGGTGTGAGTTGCGCGGAGCGAGAGACTGGGGTCTGCAGGTCGTCCAGATTGAGTGGCCTCCAAGTCAACCATCAACTCGCCCCAATTATAAAGACCTCGCCAGGCCCCAGACTCCTTCAGTAAGCAGGAAGACGACCTCACCTCCTTCATTTCTATACCGTTTGCTTTCGGACTCGGAAATCCACAACATCGAAGCATCTTTCAACATGTCGCAGGAGAAGGAGAATGTCCAGCACTTAGACACCCAGCGATCGTCAAGCGATGTGGCGGCGGAGGCAGGAATTGACTTGGAATATGAGAAGAAGTTGATGTGTGTATTCGACCTCAGCAGCTCGACAGAATAATATGTACTAACATGAACGTAGTCACCGTGTGGATTGGAAACTTCTCCCCATCTTGGGTGCTCTCTACTCCGTCGCCCTCATCGATCGTACAAACATGTCGAACGCAGCTATCGCAGGAATGATGCTCGATTTAGAACTTTACATCGGAGACCGGTACTCGATCGCCCTCTTGATGTTCTTCGTCCCATACTTCATCTTCGAGCTTCCCTCCAACATCCTTCTCCGAAAGGTCGGAGCTGCCAAATGGCTCGGAACTATCGTTGTCGCCTGGGGTGCTGTGATGTTGGGTATGGGCTGGGTTAAGACATGGACACAATTGGTTGCCTGCAGAACAGTTCTCGGTTTCTTTGAGGCTGGTATGTGAACCCACTCCCAATGAGCAAAGCATAGGCGTTCTGACGGTTTTAGGTTTCTTCCCGGCTTGTGTCTACCTCGTTTCCTGCTGGTATGTTCGTTTCGAGGTCCAGAAGCGGTATGTCCACCATTACCTATCATTCGTGTAATTATTATTGACATTGAGACAGCATGGCTGCCTTCTACCTCGTGTCGGTCTTTGTTGGTGGCTTCTCCGCCATTCTCGCCTATGGTTTGATGCAAATGGAGGGTCGCCATGGTATCCGCGGCTGGCGCTGGATCTTCATCGTCGAAGGCGCCATTACTCTCGGTCTCGGTATCCTCGCCTATTTCGTCATCATCGACTTTCCCGACAAGGTTCTCGAGAAGAAGAACGGAGGTTTCCTTACCGAGCGCGATGTCGAAATCATCAAGAGCCGCATCGACCGCGACCGTGACGACTCTGTTGCTGATGCTCTCACTTGGGCCAAGGTCGGCAAGCACCTCTGCGATATCAAGATCTGGGGCTTCTCCTTCATGTTCCTCGGCTCCACAGTGCCCGCCTACGCCTTCTCCTACTTCCTACCCATCATTCTCTCCGGCATGGGGTACACCGATGCGATGTCTCAAATCCTCACGGCCCCACCCTTCATCTTCGCCACCATCTTCGGAATGGCTCTTGCCGTCGTCGCCGACAAGATCCGCATGCGCGGCCCCATCATCGCCTTCCAGGCCGTCGTCTGCATCATTGGTCTCGCCATCGTCGCCTACGCTGAAAACGACGGCGCCCGCTACTTCGGAACCTTCCTCGGTGTTGCTGGTGCTCAGGGCAACGTCCCCGCCGTCCTCTCCTACCAATCCAACAACATCCGCATGAACTCCAAGCGCTCCGTCGGCTCTGCTCTCCAGGTCGGTTTCGGCGCCATTGGCGGCATCATGGCCTCCACCGTCTTCCGCAACGAGGATAAGCCCAAGTACATCAACGGTTTGTGGACTGCTATGGGCTGCCAGTTTATGATTCTTGCCATCACCGCTGCCACCACCGTCTACTTCCGCATTGCGAACAAGAAGCAGGCGCTGGGACAGAAGATTCTTGAGAATCACGAGGCTTTCACTTATACTTATTAGCTGGGCTTAGAAGAAGAGAGGTTGTGGGGACGGACGTTTTACTATTGTGTATAGCCTTTGTTTTATGAGGGTGACTCGGGGTTTGGAATCCAGTCTCCTCTGCCACGTATTAGTTTTGTTTATTAACGCACGGATTTCCTTCGATGAATTTTTTTTTATGGGATTGGAATTGGCATTATGTATTTTATGGACGCTTTGGAATCGGAAAAAAGGTTTTAAGTAACGCGCGAGTCTCTCTCCGTGTCTCTCTTTATCTCTTTATCTGTGTGTGGGCATGTGTGAGTCGTGAAAAACCATTCCCCACCGCCCCGGATATCGAAATCTTCACTCAACCCACCCACCGCCCCCCCAATATCCCCGCCCCCCAATATCCCCTCCCCGCGCACTGGTAACCCATCCATCCTCACAGCCCTCCTCACTCCACCTACCATCTACCATCTACCAACGTTATGCACCCTATATCCAGAACAGGAAACCATGCGATATTGCTTTGCCTTGCCTTGCAGCTCCACCCACCATAACCGACCAACCGGCGTCACCTCTGAAGTGAACTGATCTGCATGGATCGGATAGATGCTGCGAGCGACCAACAACCACCCGGTCTGGGGTCTGGGGTCTGGGGTCTGGGGTCTGACAGGTGTGGGGATAATGGAAGCGGGGTGGGGTGTGACAGACAGCTGCTAAATGTTCGGTGGGTGAGGGGTGGTCGGGGGTTTGTCCTGTTTGGGCGGTTTTGTGTAGCGGTGGCCGTGGTATCGCGGAGGGTGAACTTTGGGGCACCTGAGGTGTGATAAGAGGTGCGGAGGTGAGGATCGGTGGGTGGCATTGGGAACGTATTATGAAGCGCTGAAGAGAAGAGGTTGGTTCTCCGTTGTGGTTATGGTAGTGATGGTGATGGTGATGGAAGATAGGAGGCTGGTGATTTCGCGGTTCATGTTGGAACTTGGCGAGACGGGTTGAACTGGGCTGGCTCCGCTGGGATCACGCGCTCCTGAGTCGAGAGCGGAGATTATGGATGTCGGTTTTGAGGGAATGTCGTACAATACCGCCGAAAATTCGAGGTCGTGAGTCCAGACTTGTGGGAGGTAATGCGCGGCGCTGCGATGCAGTGCACGGTGCTGTGAGAACGATGTGATACCGGGAGCTGTGAGAGAGCGACAACGATGTTATGGCGGGGTGGTGACGTCGTGGATTGTGGGAGGGAGGCAGGAGGTTGGTGAGGGAGATGGTTGGAGCAGTGGTGGAGCTGAGAAGGTGAGTGAGAATGTGTGAGGCTGTGGTGGACGACAGCTTCATTCCCTTCTGTTCCTCTCTCGCTGTATCATCTTTCTCGTTTTCCTCTTCCCGTCACCGAAAAATATCTTCTCTTCCCACTTCAGCCCACACCGTTGGAAACCTGATACGCTACGGTTGCGATGAGGCTACGATACTACGATTCTACGTGCGACGGAACCGCCACCACAGCGAGGACCGTCGGGCTCAGAGGGGAAATGTTGAAGATTGGTGAACTAGTATCATGCGGACAAAAGGAAGAATCATGATTGTTGTGAGGGAGTTTGGTGATGAGAGGTTGGCTCAAGTCTCTCCAATCTATACTATATTAGGATGACGTTGTGAAGAAGACTGATACTGGCGGGTTAGGATCTCAGGGATAAATCGATACCACAAATTGGTGTCAACGATTTGTAACAATCCCAGAAGGACGTCCAACGCTTAGGCTCCGCTACGAGATAAAAGCATTGCGGCAGCATCTCCTCGGAAACACCGCCGGATGAAAATGCCACCATGACAACCCAGCGCTCTCATTATCAACCTCTTCAATATACCGACTCGATCCACTCCAACACCGCGATATCGCATCCCGATGATTGATCCTCATGGTCTATGAAGCAACCAAGCCATACAGATATTCCTTTCCGTACAGACATCGGGTCCCTATACTATCACCAAGCGCCCGTTACTTCTCCAAAAAAGACGCAATATCCATCCATACCTATGGGACAACTCTCCTCCGATTCCCACAATCCCGAGCGAAGACACACCACAGCTTACCCACTCCACCACTGCGTTCATCACGTCAGTTCATCCAACCTACACCGCGACAACTATATACCCATCGGCTCAGCGGACCCCGTGTTCAAAGGACACGAATCGACCATCTTCGTCGCAGATCCAAAGCGCGACAACAACTCGCCAATCCTATATTACTGGTGGTCATATTCTGCAATTATCACGTGAGTGAGTAATGGAACAAACACTTTCAATCGCGGGCGTTGGGGCTGGTTGGCAACACAATTAGACACCACACTTTGATCATTTAACCATGCTGGCTGGGATGGTGGGTGGTTAAAACGGCGTTATCATGTGACGTGCTGAACCTTGATTGATTGATTGATTGTAATCATTTAAGCGCATGCGTCCCTTTGGGATATGGCGCGAGAACTAACATACAAACATCCCCTTCCCGCAGTGTAAAAACTGCATCTGTCCAAGCCTTTGCTGTGGTCGCCTTTTGAGCTGTGTGCTTGTTGCGCACTTAGACTCTCCTATATCCACTTGTTTTCCTTTTCTAACTTTTTCATGTTTTTGTTTCCTCCTCTCCCCGACCTCATTCTCCCATCCCCATTCCTCGTGCTCCCGCTCTTCTCTGGCTCGGTCCTCTTCCTCTGTTTTTGGTCTCCCCACAAGCGTCTCCTCGAGGAATTTTAGGATAGCTGGGGTGGCCCTGGGTTCTGCAAAGATTGTCGACGACGCATGCGTCCTCATGAACCCTTCTTTCTTCAGCGCGTTCCAGCCGTGCTGAACCACATTGTATTAGTAGTATATAAGTAGCTGGCATGGAGAATCAGTCATCAAGGTCCCTTAGCTCAGTTGGTTAGAGCGTGGTGCTAATATCGATGTTACTATATTGATAGTATTGTAACGCCAAGGTCGCAGGTTCGACCCCTGCAGGGACCATTTATTTCCTTTTGATATATTTTTTGCTGTGGATGGACAAATGGAACGTCGGGAAAACAGGTTAAAAAGGAAAATGGTTGTTGCGGTGGTGGGCATGTTGATCGACGCAAGCCAATACTTGCTACCCCTACTGACTAGTACGTGAACTATCGCTGTCTGAATCCCAAGTTGGCGGAAGTGGCGTTGGCGGGCGATTATTTCTAGCATACATATTCGAAGATCTATCCTCAGAATTCATATAGGATTCCGATTGAGAGTCTATGGGGACGAGGAAATTAGCATGTGTTACTTACATTCTCCCGATGTAGTCACGGTGGGCCCCTGGCGGTAGAGAACGCGGGTTACGATTATCCGACTCTGAACCAGAATCGGTGCCGGAGTACTCAGATAGTTGGCCCGGGATCACGAGTGGGATGGATGGGGCGTCATCGATGTTTAGCTGAAGGCTTGGAGCTTGACCGCGAGGGTACTCGCCCTCCCGCAAAGGCCGTTCGATGATGGTGTCGTCGTCTGAGCCACTCTGAGAGGAAGAACTGTCGCTGAAGGGGTGACGGGGTGGGCGGTGTGGGCGGCGTCTTCTACTAGCCCCGGTCAGGGCATTAGACGTGTGAAGATTATTTCCATCGTTGTTTCGAGAACCTGTGCTGGCACTAGTATACCGTCTCGTCGGGGGTCTTAGCGCGCGAGATGGTTCTCTATGAGATCTTGCCAGTGTGTTGTACGAGGCAGGCTGTCTATTTTGGCGGTTGCTAACATACGGATATCCATTGCTGCGGTCACGGCGATAAGCATGGCCAAATCCTGCCTCACTGTCACTGGAGCCACTATCCCATCTCGCGCTCGGGGACTCGGAGGAGCTGCTTTCGTCGTCAGGCTCAATTAGGAGTGCGGGTGCCATGGGATTCGCGTGAGCGTATGATGACAGAAGGGCTACGGAGAGCAAGATGAAGACCCCGAGGGTTATGAAGAGTTGAGGGATACGCATCCTCGCTTTTGACGTGATTTTTTCCAGGGAAAGAGTATATGTATGTGAAGAACTTGGAAAGGTGTTTCCAAGATTTGAGAACGCGACGTTGAGTGAAGTGACGCACAGTGACTCGGAAGACAACAATCGAAGACGAGTAGTAGCGACCACAGTGACGAGCGAAAAGCTGAGAAGAGGAAGCTTTATGAACACAGCGCTAACAAAGAAGCGGAAAAATTGCCCAAGAAGGGTCAGACACAGACATGCCATGTTGACGTGATCGATCACCAGCCTGAGGCCTAGTATGTATATCATGAAACTGACCACTTCTTGCCTTGTTCAAGGTGCTCGGGTATGCAATCCTGTCACTGGAGTGCAGTTATCACTTGCAGGCATGAAAACGGTCACCGTGTTGTGCGCTCCCGAATAATGCGCCTGAAGAGGGCTTAGGCCATGTAGAGCGTAGGATACAGAGGCGTCCGGGAATTATAATGCATTGGCAAGGCATTGACATCTTTGTTCCGGGATGTTTTACGTTGTCATGTCACCGCGCTGCCGGGTTATGGCTCGGACATGATACGCGTTAATTAAGTTTATTCGCCTAGCTTCAAAGTCTCGCACAAAAAAACTAAAGGAGATTGGAGATGCATATCTATCTGTCGAGGTTGGATTCCCCTTCAACAGATAGCACTTCAAGGGAGCCGGGTGGCGGGCATGGAAAGTCATCAGGGCATGAGACTGCATGAAGCAGAGAATTCAAGCTCTCCCCAGCCATCACGTCGTCATGCATAGCCCAGCGATGCCAGAACTATGCCTACTGGAGGACTTGACTATAACATCCGGTGGTATTAAACGCGAAGGTGGTGAGCGGTCTATCCCATTCCGGTTACATCCCTTGAAGTCATAGTTACCTTCCCTCACTCTCATCTATTCCTCGGCTTATATCACCGTGACCAGTCGGGTAGCAATCGAGCCAAATCCGACATCCACTTGGCTGTGTACCCAGCATTGGAGATCAGTATGCAGCTGCTGAGCTTCTGGCGAAGCGGAATGTACCAAACGGTGACCTTGATAAATATTTTGTTACCACTCATCACCGCATACCCGAATACTCCGACAACGGTCGGCAAAACGGGCGATTCGTCGACTTCGGCGAACCTCAAGACCTTAGAAGAGATCCAGGTCGCAACGAGTCCTCTACAAAGAGGCTGATATGAGCGTTATTGACGGAAAGTAGGAAACATGGAAACATATCCGCAAAAGAGACTATCCCCGAAATTCCGGTGCACGACATGAAGTATTTTACCCCAGACAGGTAATCGAGATTGAAAGAAACGAGTACGCTTATTGGCGAAAATGCAACACTAGTGGGTTTCAGTTCATACTGGAGGATCTCTCACAATATGGGAAGATGTTTTCGGGGTTGTCATCCCCCAAACCGGCGCGAACACAATCAGCTTTTGTGCGGCCGTTCCAGAAGCAGGCTAAAGCTATATGCGGGGCTTTAATGGCTGGACCTAACCCTCCGACACCAGTAATATATACCTCTGCTTATCTTGGCTCATATGAAGAAAATCCAGAGAAACCACTAGGGTGGGGGCTTGAAGATGGAAAACGCGTGGTTTTATGGCCAGAATATATATTGGTAAAAGGTAAGTACCTTTTAAATTTGCACCTAGGTCTAAACGTAGGGGAACTCATCATTCAACAGTTATCGCTAAGAATCCCCCAGACCAGGGCTTGTACACGTTCACCGATACTAATAAGCTTCAATGTGCGGCGATGCTGGAACGAAGCCTCTGGTTTGACAGATCAAGCACCGATGAATGGTGCTACGGGTTACCTGCGAGCTTCGAAAACAAGTTTGGCCCCAAATGGACGATTCAGCTGTCATGGACACCGTATAAGGACTATAAGGCTCTCATGGCTGCGGTGGGACTATTAGAGTCAGACCGCGCCACAAAATTCTACAATCATGAATCTCTATCGCAGAAATACCAGCCGCTGATGGTAGCCCCAGGCAAATCGGTACCTGGAGTATCTATCGCCGGCGAGGGGAAGGATGTGACTGGAACACTTTCCTCCGGAAAAGGGGCGACTACATCTCTTGGAAACTTACGAGCAATTCAAGCGAGTGATAAAGCGGCACGAGAGCGGGCGCAAGGAACCACCCACGCTATCAGACGTGACATCTAATAAATGATGTTTGAGATGCAACAAAATCGAGGTCACGGTCATTGTATCAACGGGTTTTGGAGTCAGGGGCTCGGTATCTTCTCCCAAAATCTACTAGCTCTCCTATTTGCGGTTCTGAACTGGATGGTTCAGTCGTATCTCATATTATCTCCTTGGCTTTTCATTTCTGCGTGGTCCCTCTCTCGTTTTGCTGAGTTACAGTGGCTTTCAGGCATCGTTTCTCATCCATTCCGGGTGTCTCGAGTCAGCTCTCCTAACGATCTCCTTCTCGCTGTCTCCCTCTCCTCCGTGTAGGCTCAGTTCCAGTGCCTTTGAAACTGACAGGTAGCAAAATCTCTCGACCAATAATACTATATATTACCTTCTCAATCTTACAATATACCTAACATTCCTCGTGAATGTAAAATATGCTATTCCAGAGCCATTACCCCGACTCCGAGCTAATCACAGTATCCTCAAATTTCTCCCACCCTATAATCCCCACAGTGCCCCGATAAAGCCCATTCGGCCATGGCACCAGGCTCCATAAGTTTCCAAACCATCGCCTATCCGCGATGGATCTCCCAAGTACCGATACCCTAAGTCTGAAATCCTCGAGTCCATCGCGACACCGCCCCCCTGCCGACCCGCAACCAAATTGACTCCGCCTCATGACCACGCTGGACCCTCCGAGCCCCATCTTAACCTGTATTGAACCCAGCAAGCCAGTTTTTCGGCCAACAATCCATAACCATGTCTGAACCCCCCAAGCGATTACAACAACTAGCCACACCTGGAGCCGCGATAACCCGACAACCCAAGTCACCACCAACACTGCCGAAGGCGTCACCCATACCAACGGCTTCAACGCGCAGACAGCCACGATCACTGCACTGGTTCAAGCAATTATCTCAACTCCGAGTGCATCCGAGCCACCGCTCGATGCACAACATAGCAACCCAGAATGCGACCACAATATCCCTCCACTTGGATCTCTAGACTCCTCCCCGCGCGGTCTTCAGAAGCCGGGTACTCCCTCTCCCCCCACCAGACCAGGGGGATCAAACTCACTTTCACCGACTGCCGCCTCCTGGGAACGCTCCCCAATGGCCGCGGCGACCCGCTGATAACGACCTGCGCGTGACGCCGCGAAATACGGCACCATTTAATGTTCCCGCGGAATGCGGTGGTGGTGGTGAAGAAGCAGAAGAACCAGAAGGCGAAGCAGAAAGCCCCATCGCCAGCACCGCCAACCCATGGGGGTACCCAGGAAGCGAAGGTGCTGTATCGCACCGGGTATGCAGCGTTTGTGGAGCAGGCGAGGCAGGGGAGAGAGACGTTTCGGTACTATACCAGGTTGAAGAAGAAGAGATTGAGTGGAAACGAAACTGAGGCGGGGAGTCGGAGAAAGTATGGCACAGAGCCATAAGTGCGGGGGGTTCGTACCGTATTTATGTGTCTTAGGACCACTTGAGCTGGAAGTTTGGATGATCAGATGGAGCCTTTCGGTTAGGGCTCGTGGATCCTTGGGCAGAATTTCGTTTCCCAGTCGTCTTGTTTTGAGTTGAGCGGTGGTGTATGGCTTGGAGTTGTGATATCTCAGTCGAATACAGCACCTTAACTTTGCTTGTGGACGAACCAGTGCTCGTATTTTTTTTTTCATCCCTTAATTAGCAGATTTCAATATACACCAACAGCGAGAAACATGCAGGTACCGCCAGTTTTACCAGTTTCGGCCACAGACCTAGAGGATCCAATTCCAACAACCACACCACAGTCCCACCGCTCGCCGCCCGAGTTCCCTCCTTCTCCCATACCACGTCCCCCAGAAGGGGCTCACGTAGCCAACCAGGGTCAGTGA